TACAAATAATAATAATAATAATTATTATTATTATTATAATAATAATAATAAATAAATAAATAAATAAATATAATATAATATAATACTTACATAAAGAAATAATTTTGAATGAGAGTCCATCATACTGATATTATACCATGTGGACTATTTACATAGGGTGGTCCATAAAAGACCACTCTTTATCTTACTCTTCTTAATTAATGTGTTAGCTTTCTCTTTTGTTACCTATAATACCAAAATTAACGTGTTTGGCCCTTTCTCTTGTTACTTTTGACGTAGCAGGTTAGTATGCCATCTCCCATTTTATATTATAATCTATTACCCATTTTATATTCTCATTTAATATTTTATTGACACTTCTTACTTGAGGTGTCATAAAAAGTACCTCTCTCTCTCTCCTAAACAGAGTCTCTCTATAAGAATGTCTCTCTCTATCTTGGATGAGCTTTATATAAATAATAATAATAATAATAATAATAATAATAATAAATAATAAATGGGCTTTAAAAGTTGATGGTTCATCACCTGACATGGCTAACTCAACAGCCCAATCCATGTAGTTGAGACACCTTTAAAAAAGGTCTTAAAAAGTTTAAAGGTCTCACTCTCTCATAAAAACCCTTACCAAGCTTAGTTTTAACAGGGGCTGGGACTCTCTTTCATCAAACACGCTCTCTCACTCTCTCTCGTGTTTACTGGGTGGGAGTTGGAAGATGGTGAGGTAAATCTTATAGATTAGTTTGGACTTTTCGTTGGAGCTTTATGGATTTTGGATGGTAGTCCTTCTAGAGTTCGAAGAACTATGTTACTCAGCCAATATCAGTCAAGCTTGAGGGGGTCTTCAACAGCAATAATATATTTTGGTTGATGCTTGTGAGGCAACAATAATTACATATCAGAGTAATTTAAGGAGTAAGTGATCGCATTCTTCTGAAAAATAGTCAGTTTTCAATAAAATAGTGATATTTCTATCCAATATCTTTATTTTATTAGTTTTATGTGTAAGTGACATCATATTCCTGAAAAATAATCCGTTTTAATAAATAGTGATATTTCCATCCAGGATCTTTATTTTATAAGTTTTATGCACAAATGACTGCCTTATTATTTGAAAACTGATATTTTTGCATTTGATTATAGCATTGTCTGTGAAATGTTCATTTGCGAATTGACATCCCATAAATTGTGATGATTCCGTATTCTTGAATTTCTATAAGAGTTTTTCTATACATATTAGATTGGCAATTATGCTAGAATGTCTTTACGAACTGCTACTTTTCTGAATTTGAGCCCAAAATATTTGATTGGGTATTTTTGAAATGTTATTGAAAGTGACTGTTATTAATGGTTTCAGTGAAATTCATATTAATAATTTCAGTGATATATTGAGTACATGATATTGCTGCTTTCGAATGTTTAAAGAGATTTAGAAATACTTTAAGTATAAAAGTGGACTCATCTGGTTTGCCGGTGAGGGATAAGTGGACCTATCTGGGACGCCGGTAGGGATTAAGTGGACTCATCCGGTCGTGCCGGTGAGGTATAAGTGGACCTGCAGGATTAAGTGGGCCTATCTGAGACGCCGATAGGAATTAAGTGGACCCATCACTACGCTGATGGGGTATATAGGTGACCTACTTGGGACGTCAGTAGGGTAATTTGTGAAATCCTTTGAATTATACACTGCCGTTAAAATGTTATATGCATTTCAATTATTCGGATTATAGTTAATTATGCATTCATGAAAGTGAAACTGTTAATGCATTTCTGTTAATAGACCTCTTTTTGAAAATATTGATATCTTTCAATCATGATTTTTTTTAGGATTATGATGATCACTTATTGAGTAGCCAAACTCATCAAACTATGGTAAATATTTTTTTCAGGATAACTGCGGTTTCATTTTGAGTGCTCGTCATGATCAACTTTGGAAGATACTGTAGTTGTGCTTAAACTTTCTTTTGTTATATTGTAAGAATTCGCCACTGTAAATTTGTCCTATCAACGAGATGTATATATGTTTTGACTGTCACATCTCAAGAATATCAGTATTGTAAATTCTTGGGGCGCGACAACATAAGATAAGTCATCAACATCTTCCCACTATTCTTGACTATAACAATTTTATTAAGGGCCTTAACTCATATAAACCTCACATCCTAAACCATGAAATTGGAGCAACCCACTTGAACATGTATGTTCATTATATAAAAAATGAACACTTTAATCTACACAATCAAATGCAATGTAAAAAAAAAGAATCAGATGATTAAACTCTTTAAAAATCTCCCGATTATCATAGCTTTATAAGAAACACATAGCAAGCCAATATTTTTTTAAGCAGATAGACATCCCTTAATTTGGTTGCAAAAATTAAACCTAATCAGACATTGGATATAGCAAGTATCGCTTAAAAAGGACATCGAATCCTAAATTGAACATGAACATATAAAAACAATTATTGACAATAGTTTTTAAAAACTAAAAACATCATTGGCAGGGACAAGGCTAAAAAAACATGTATATTGTAACAACCGCCATACAATTGCCCAATTACAAAGCATAAGAGGACCCAAACAAAGCACAACCCATAATTTCTTTTAATTTTAGAAACAAATATAACTGTAAAATAAATGCATGCAAAACAAAGTCAGCCAAATTTCAAATTTTTAACTGTAAAATCATATGTAACTAGAAAAATTATAAATTTATGAAACTAAAAAAAACCTTAAAAAAATAAGAAAAATGGAAGTGAGACGAAGACATACCTGATTTTTGAGATTATTGGGTTCAATTGGAGATTAGATCTGCCACAAAACCTGAGATTGCCTATAATCTTTCAAATTGAGGATAAAAATCCCTTCTTTGAGCAACTCACTGTTTTTCCCAAAAAAAAAAAGCTCAAATCTATAAAAGAGAGACCTACATAAAAAATGGAAGTAGAGCTTTGAGAGGGAGAGAGGCCCGTTAGCAAGGAGAGATAAGGAGTGAAAGAGACGCTACCGGGTTGAAAGGGAGAGAGAGGCCCGACAGCAGGGGATGTTTATGCAGAGAGTGCGAGAAAAGATGAGCAAAGAAAAAAGAAAAACGATATTGAGAGCATAAATAAGGCGGGAGGCTAGATTGAAAAAAATAAATAAATAAATAAACTTAAAAAAGAAAAAAAAACAATAACAAAAAACCAAAACAAAAAGAAGAAGAAAAAAGAAAAAGAAGAGATCCTATCATTCTCGAAAACAACGGCTTATTTTTAGACCATATCGTTATAAGTTTACAACGGAACTTTAGTCCGATCCGTACATAAATTTCGGTTTATTTTTTAGTCATCATAGCTTGCGTGCAAAGCGCAAATACATTCGTGCCCATAAAAACGTGGCATCCAGAAGGCCAAATCCTAAAAATCAGAGGCCTCAGTCATCAACCATAAAAAAACGTGCCACGTGTCGACCGACCTCCCGAAATGATACTCGTCTGGAGCCCTTTCTTGGCCAAATTCAGAAGACACGAGCTAATCAGTCACTATCTGATTCTCTGTTTCCCTTCTCTCTAATATCAAGTTCGCCGGAAAAATTTTCACGGCGACTCTTATCGCCGGGATCCTCTCACCTCCTCAATGTTCCGGCAACTGTACAAACTACAATTAATGACTACCAGTACTAGTACTAATAACTATTTATTTGGTGTTCCAGTGCTAGTGATTGACGCTAATTCTGATATCTTTATGTTCTCTCTGCAATTAAACTTACTGGTATCGCAGTCATGGCTATTCTATGTCTCGGAGCTCTTGAGCCAAGTTCTCTGGAAATCTTACTCAATGTAACGGTATAGTTATTGTTCTGGTCCGAATTTACAGTAACAGTGAGCAATGGAGTTCGTGCCCCATTTGGTCTCTGCGACTGAGTTTTCCAGAATCTTAGCCAAAGGAACGATCTCCAGCTTCTTCTTCTAGCCCTAATCTGGAGAGAGCCACTGCGACAAGTAATAGTGAGCGATGGCGTTTGTCTCTCTTCTGGTCTCGGCAACTAAGATTGCTGGCATCTTGGTCACCGTTACAGTGGCAGGAAACATCCTCTCATTTTCTAGATTCAGGCGGAAAAACCTCATGCCCATCAATCCACCTCTGGCCGAATCTTCGGACACTCTTGCTACCTTCAACATAGATGCAAATGGTGGGGAAAACCCAAAACGCTTTCATAACCGCTATTTCAAACAGCACAAATCAAATAAGAAACCTAACCCTAATTTTTTTTCTGAATTTTTTTTTGTGGAGCGAAACTTATCAACTAAAAACCATAAGCCATAATTCTCTCATTAAAGGAGTTCTGATGTTGATGATGGGTTCGGGAATTTGCAGAGGCAGAAGGGGGATTCTTCTTTGGAGTTGCAACTGCTCCTGCTCATGTGGAGGATCGATTGGACGATGCATGGGTTCAATTTGCAGAGGAGACGCCATGTGCACAGTCTTCTTCTTCTTCTGAGCCTGCTGATGCTTTGATGGGCTCAGCATCTGGAGATGGAGCGTTACAACAGGGTGCTTGTTCTTCTTCTTCTTCTTCTTCTGTTAGTGCGAGAGCGAAGAAGAAAAATAAGAAGTTTCTTAAAGTAGCAATGGAGGCCATGATTAGAGGGTACGAGAAGTATGAGGACGAGGAGGAAGAGGAAGAAGAAGAGGAGGAGGGTGAGCAGCATGTTGAACGTAAGCATAACATTGCTGCTTGGCACAATGTGCCGAACCCGTAAGTTCTTGCTTGCCTTTGCTGTCTTTCTTTTATTATTTGATAATGGCTTTCTGAATTCTTTAATTTTCTGCATCTCATTTGGTATTCTTCTTATCAAAGTCATGCTTGAAATCTGTTATGGGCAGGCTTTGGGAATTTAGTGGAAAGAATTAGATTTTAGGCAAAACAGATAGGAACCAAATCTTTTCATACTCTTGAACTTCATCATAGTTAAAAGCACCTCAGGTTGTGGTTTTCATTACAGGAAAGAAAGACTGAGGTTTTGGTCTGATCCTGAGACCGAATTGAAGTTGGCTAAAGATACTGGTGTTAGTGTTTTCCGGATGGGCATTGACTGGACGAGGATTATGCCTGAGGAACCTGTTGATGGGGTTCAAAGATCAGTAAGTACATTGAGGAGCTGTCTATTTAAACTTTCACCCTATTCTCTTTCTTCCAATGTTTCTGTCTTCCAATTTTTGGTATGTAGGCAAGTGAAAATCAAATTTCTGCTAATTTGTGATAATCCCTTTTGTATTTGCCAATTCTATGGGTTTCCATTTTAGGGTTATAGTCTTTACCTCTTTATTAGGTATAGCTTGGGTTTGGAAGATTGCTTATATGTATAGCGTGAAGAACTTCAATTGCTTGAAATCATTGGAATTCTGTGGTGTTTATATTAGGTAAATTGATTAATTGGAATTTACTTCTGCAGGTCAATTGGGCTGCACTTGAACGATACAAATGGATCATTCAAAAGGTGCGATCTTATGGGATGAAGGTTATGGTGACGCTATTCCACCATTCCCTTCCACCTTGGGCAGGAGAATATGGTGGATGGAAACTTGAGAAAACTGTCGACTATTTTATGGAGTTTACTAAGTGAGTTACTTTCCCAGGGATTGTATATGTTTTTGTGGGAGAATTATGAATTTTGCATCTTAAAAGTATTGTGGCACCTGAAACTTAGTTTGGGACTTCAACCACTATTATTTGGAGAACTCCTCTTCTATATACAGTATGTTTTATTTCTCATATATGCTGTTCTCCCGAAGATGAAGCTTCACTTTATCGCTTGTATAGTAGTGTTTTAATACCATTGTTAAGATTCTGAGGTCTACATATTTGTGTTTTGTTTGCACATGCTCATTGGCTTCATTATGACACTCATCTATGCTTTACTTATGTGAGCTGCCATATGGCAGTGGAAAATTGAAGAATTGTAATATAAGTTCCATGTGTTATCATTGTTCTTCTTTTATTTTGATATTGAAATAATGGTTACGTCCTGGTATAAATTAGTGCAGTTGACGAGCTGTCTTGTTGCAGTCTTTATTCCCGCAATTCTTCCTTGAGTTCTGTTATCCCTCCAAAACTGATTTCCTGGCTCTATTTTATGCAGGGTTGCTGTGGATGGTATCTCGGAACTTGTGGACTATTGGATAACATTTAACGAGCCACATGTCTTTTGCATGCTGACTTATTGTGCTGGTGCTTGGCCTGGCGGACACCCTGATATGCTTGAGGTTGCAACATCTGCCCTACCAATGGGTGTTTACACACAAGCCTTGCACTGGATGGCTGTTGCACATTCAAAGGCTTATGATTATATTCATGCAAACAGGTTTTTATCCTTAAACTTGTGACGGGTCTTCTGAAACATTTACACCTTTGTTTCAAATGTCGTTGTATTTTCTTAGGGTAGGTAAGGTAGTTTCCTCTTGACTAATACGATCATACCTCAAAAAGACTATAATTTTAAGAAAAAGGTAAAATATTCATTAACAAAGAAAAGGATTATTCTGTGTTACCTTCACACATCATATTTTCTCTGTGCGGTCACATGTCAACACCTCCAGACATAGGCCCGAACAATAAAACTTATATTGAACATTAGCCATGAGATTTGAACTGAGGACCTCTTGAAGACAGGTAGGTTCTACTACTATCCCAGTTGGACATACGTGTATAAAGCATACAATTTTTTATATACTATTTTAACATCTTTTTTTAATATGAATAACATAACAGCATTCCTTAAAAGTTTGAACTCAGGACCTCTCCAAGTTGCGCAGTGAGCTCTACCGGTGTAACTATGCTATGTAATTTATAGTATATATACCATATAAGAGTATTATTAGACTAACATAATATTTATATGGACAACACCTGCTGTATCTGCTTAATTGGACGGAGCACTGGATACTTCAAACAGTGTTGGACATTGATGCTTATGTTGGTGTCCATGGAACAACGATTGTTTAATACTGACTGCAGTCACACATATTTCATCATCATCGCCATTATCATCATCTAAGCCTTATCCTAGCTATTTGGGATCGGCTACATTAATCTTATTCCACCATTCTGCTCATAGGTTTAGGATTCATTACAAGATTTGGCAAAGCTTTACTCTGGCTGCCCTACCCAACACAACCCTCCTTCTTTACCCAGGCTTGCAGTCAGACATATTTACCCAAAAAAAATAAACAAAGACTGCTGTTATACATACCACGAACGTTATTGTTAAGCAGAATGTTTACATTGGAAATGAGTCTAGGAGTGCTGCCTGCTTAGTGTGGTAGCTAGGTGTGGTCACTTGGTTGCAAGGTATGTATGCTATAATCAGTTGGACTGTTGGAGCCACAGTCCGTAGGAATCGTCACTATCTGAGCAAATAATAGAGTGGTAGTGAGAGAATGTAAACCTAATGGATTATGGAAAGTCAATGATAGTCATCATCACTATTTTATTTTGGTGGGTCCCACTCTCTACATCACTCTCTATTGTTTGTCATTTGGTTGGATGGTGATGGCACTGAGGGCCTATGGCTACTGTTGGATCTGTTCACTTGCTTATAGATATGCCTCTTATTTTGGGGGTTACCATTTGATTCTGATTCAAGTTTTTTCTTATTTTTTGCAGTAGCACTGGTTCGAAATGGAAAGTGGGGGTAGCACATCACGTTTCGTTTATGAGGCCATATGGTCTATTCGATGTACCTGCCGTTGTGCTGGCTAATTCGTTAACTTTATTTCCCTATGTGGACAGCATAAGCGACAAGCTTGATTTCATAGGGATAAATTACTATGGCCAGGTCCTCCATTTCCATTGACACAACTTATTGTGCACACCAAAGTACATTCTTCATTTTCGATAATATACTTGACTATCTACATACAAAACTGACTCATATGAAGTTTAGACTTGTTTGCTGAAATAAACTTCGGTGTTCAGGAAGTGGTTTCTGGCCCTGGCTTGAAGCTTGTAGCGAATGATGAATACAGTGAATCTGGGCGTGGTGTTTATCCTGATGGGTTGTACCGAATGTTGCTTCAGTTTCATGAGAGATATAAGCACCTTAAAGTCCCTTTCATCATTACTGAAAATGGGATCTCTGATGAGACTGATTTGATTCGTCGACCTTACATATTGGAACATTTGCTTGCTATTTATGCCGCCATACGTGAGGTTTGTTCTCCTCGTACTCAATATTTATGAAATTCCACATAATGGGAAAGCATACCATAGTCCTTAGGATGATATAAGGTACTCCTGGGCTAAGTACCCATTGATGGGTACTTGGAGATTAACTGGAGTGGGGTAAACGGGGACATCAATCTGGTACACCAGGATGGGCTATTGCATGCTTCCCCTTTTATAAATGCCCTTTCATAATTTATAATCATCTATTGTTGTGAACTGTTGGTTTTTTCTTGTAGGGTGTTCCTGTGCTTGGCTACTTGTTTTGGACAATATCAGACAATTGGGAATGGGCTGATGGCTATGGCCCCAAGTTTGGACTGGTAGCAGTGGATCGTTCCAATGGCCTTGCACGTATTCCACGCCCTTCATATTTTTTATTTTCGAAGGTATTAGGATGAGGTTCATTTATCTTTTGAGTTGAATCTTTTCAATCTAGAAATGAAATCCCCATCTCAATAGACATTGCCAATCAGAGTATTTTGGCCTCTCCGTCCAACTCTTTACTTCCGCTGTATCAAGTGCTCAATACGTAAAGATTGGATCTATTGTATGTGTTTGTACATTGGCACCAACACGTGAATGTGTGTTTCACTTTTTTGTTCTTCCTTTGCTTTCAGCTTTTTCTTTCTTTGCTTTCAGCTTTTTCTTTCATTGGTCTTGTTTTATGCTCGAATTAAGTACTTGTTGCTTTCAGGTGGTGACAACAGGTAAGGTTACAAAACTGGATCGGCTAAGGGCATGGACTGAGCTCCAGAGTGCAGCTATTGAACAAAAAGCTCGGCCATTTTTCAGGGAAGTTGATAAACATGGACTTATGTATGCCGGTAAGTCCCCTTGATCTTTTTGGCTACTCTCATATGCAGGTAACACTTAGTGTACAACTTGTATTGGATTTTCTTCCTGAGATAACCTGTAAGGCTTTCTTCATTGGGCAAGGATACCCTATGCGACTGCTGCATGGTCCACTATACATAGCTGTGGTATCCCCGATCCAATCCTGATGACAGACAGTGGAGATTAACCCTACTTGAACCATCAGTAGGGATTACTGTGTATCACTATGTTCTAACAACGGGAATGGATGTTAGCTGCTCTACTGTACAGTTTATGCCCGTATATGATATGCTTGCCCTTCTTGTTTTCGCATTTATGAGCAGTATTTAAGCTTGTTTCCCTTCTTGTTTTCGCATTTATGTCCATAACTAGCCTTCTCTTTGAATGCTTGTACCTTAAATTGATAGCTTTTTCATCATAAATTGATCTATGCCATTTAACAGGAGGGCTGGATTATCCAATACAAAGACCTCTTATTCAAAGAGATTGGAGATTTGGGCACTATGAAATGGATGGCTTACAGGACCCACTGAGCCGCTTGTTTAGAACTATCCTTGCCATTCTCTTTATAAAAAAGAAGCAGACTCGTAAATCTGATAAAAAGCATTTGGAACTTCAACCCCTTGAATTGAACCTTTGATATGTTCTGCCAAGTAACATATGGAAATGTCGGAAGCAATGTACCATAACTCCTAAGAATGTATGATATGTGATGGATTTTGGCACATACATCTGTAGGCTGCTTTAATCATTTATAAGGGTTTGTTACTGGCGAAAGAAAAATGAGGAAGTTCTTCAAATATCAAATATTATTGGGAGGGAGTGGAATTGTTCATGATTTTGTTCCGTCTTTGCATTTTGATCTTACTGTCGTCACATTTTAGAATGGTCTATTTTGAAGGCAGGACTACGTATTGCCTGATAAACAATCTCCAACTCGGAACAAATTTTTTATTAAGATTCTAAGATGTCATTGGTCCTTGTGTTTTTTTTTTTTATGTTAAATTGGATCATTTATACGAAATGTCAATAGAGCTTTACAAGTTTTTTGAATTTCTAAAGGAACTCCCATCGAAGTTTGATTTTAGTTTCCCTGGGTTCGCCATTGGTTTGCCCTACTTTCTACTCTCATGCTAATAACTTCTTAGACATGCCACTTCTTGAAATTCCTTACCACCGCATGTATTCTAGATTCCCAGTCAGTAGCGGTTGCTAGAGTTGCCAATTTTGAGCATTTAATCTCCATGATCATACCCCTCCAAAATGTTCATGGATTTCAAAATTTTAGATAGAAAAAATATTTTGAAACAAGCTTTTTACTCGGTGGAATAAGTATACACCATGAGATCAAAGGCCCTCCCAAATTCAGAAACCATACTCATTTTGTCGATCCTAGTATATTTTTTTGGTAGTTCAACACAAACGGTTTCCAATAGCAATAAAACTCAAGACATAACGTTATGACCACTCGCCTTTAGCGAATTAATTGAAATAAAAGTTTACTTTAAATTTTAGTATGGCTTAAAAGTGCCGTGTGGCTTAAAAAGTTGAGTCCTATATGTAGGTCTTACTCAAATCCCACACACACCTGCGTGCTCAATTGAGCATCCATGCTCAAAATCACAAAGTTGCTGATTCTCTCTCTACAACCTGCTAAATGAAGAAGAGAGCCAAATAATGAAAATTTCAACCCATAAATCCATCAATCTTCTGTTCTACCAATTTAAAGCCTCCTATTTCCATATCCTCATCCCAAATCACTGCAACAATTCCCCCTCTGAACCTCCTCTAAACTTATCCCACCCTTTACTCTCTCTCTTAGAAAAATGTCCAAATATGAACCAACTACACCAAATCCATGCCCAAATCGTAACCACCGGTATATCAAACCAAGTCTTTGTCTCCAGCCGTTTGATTAAATTTTGTGTGGAGGCGCCAATGGGAAACCTCTCTCATGCCTCCCTCCTTTTTGCCCACACCAATTCCCCCGACACATACACATGGAACACTATGATCAAGGCATTTTCTCTCTCTTCCCACCCAGAACAAGCCATCTCTCTCTACCACCATATGCTTCTCTCTCTAGCTAACCCCAATGGCTACACTTTCTCTTTTGTTCTAAGCGCATGTGCAAATGGGTCATATCTACAAGAAGGCAAACAAATACATTGCCTTTTATATAAACATGGACTTGATTGTAGCATTCATTGTCTCACTAGCTTGATCTCCATGTACGCTAATTGTTTCTCTCTCAAGGATGCACACAGAGTGTTTGAAGAAATGCCCCAAAAGAATGAGGTCTCATGGGGTGCCATTATCGATGGGTATGTAAAATGTGGGCAATTCAACATAGCAACCCAGCTATTTAGTAAGATGAAGAATGAACAAGGCTTAGAACCTAATAATGCCACTTTAGTGAGCATCCTAAGTGGGTGCGCCCGAAAAGGAGACCTCAACCGGGGGAAGTGGGTTCACTCATATATAGAGAGAAGAGGCCTAACTCTCAATCTCACTCTAGGAACAAGCCTAGTTAACATGTATTTCAAATGTGGAAGCGTAGACATGGCTCTGGAGTCTTTCTCTCTCATGCCTGAAAAGAGCACGCCCTCTTGGAATTGCATGATCGGGGGACTAGGGAGGCACGGCCGCGCCCACGAGGCGCTCAGTCAGTTCCGGCAGATGGTTCGAGCTGGGTCGAGGCCTAACAATGTAACGTTTGTTAGTCTGTTGCATGGTTGTAGTCATGGTGGCCTAGTGGATGAGGGGCTCAAACAGTTTAGAGATATGAGAGAGGTTTATGGTATAGAGCCTGGTATTAAGCACTATGGGTGCATAATCGACCTCATGGCTCGAAATGGCAGGCTAAATGAGGCTGTAGAGGTGATTAGAGAGATGGAAATAAAACCTGATAGTGTGGTATGGGGTGCTTTGCTAGGTGCGTGTATGGTGCATGGAAATGTGGGGCTTGGTGAGGCGATGGGAGCACAGATGATGAAGAATTTGCCTTGGCATGATGGATGTTATGTGATGCTTTCGGATGTTTATGCGTCTAATGGACAGTGGGATGGGGTATTGGGAGTGAGGAGGATGATGGCTGATTTTGGTGTTAGGAAGGAGCCGGGTTGGAGCTTGGTAGTGAATGTTGCACAGAGAGATCACCACAAAGAGTGGCAATGCAAAATAAGTGAAGGGGATAAGGTGAGAGAGGGTATGAACACCACTGAGAGTCTCAATGTACTGTAAATGATGGAAGGCAGTGCGGTTACGGTGTTTATGGAAAAATATACCATTGTTTGGTTTTTTGTGGAAGTATGTTTATATGGAAAAATATACCATTGTTTGGTTTCTTGTGGAAGTATGTTTATATGAACGAACTCCCCCCATGTAATTAGACGTGGGTTCAAACCAATTGGCCAATTGACTACCAATTGATGTGAAAAAATGCATTGGGACGGATCGGGGTGAAAAAACTCTTGCATCTAATCTCATGGAAGAGTTTTTTCATGTGAAAATACTTTCACAAAAATATTTTCATGTATATCAAATGTGCCAACATATGTAATTGAATAAAGAGGTCATAGTTAGTTTTGGTCGTTGGATATGAAATTAAACTGTTTTAGGTGTGCCACTGAAATTCAAATTCTTTCATTTTGTGATGTACTTTAATTTTTAGAATTTTACATCTAATGTAAGAGTTAGCCAGTTTCAAATAGAGATAAGACTTAGATGATGATAATGATATCTAATCTAAGGGTTGAGCTAAGTATTATTGTTATTTTTACCAAAGAAGTTATCCTGCAATTTAGAATCTGCTCTTGTTTATTAAGATTTTTGCTCTTTGTGATGGAAAGATCGGTTCGGAACTTAAAATTCCAAATGGATTATTTTATAAATGAACCATTTCAGAACTTCGAGTTCCAAACTGTGCTTTTACCAAAGAGCGAAAAAAAACTGAAACAGGGAGTCCCTTCTCTTTCTTTTTGAGTGTTTTGAGTGAAGGGAGCTTTTTACCAAAAAAGAGAAAAAAGTGAAACAGGGATTCCCTTGTCTTTCTTTTGAGTGTTTAGAGTGAAGAATGGAGTTGGTAACCAACCTTCACTCATTTTTATGGTATTAAAAAGAGTATTATGCGTTACTGAGGGAGCATATTACAAACTGAGTCTCTCAAATGTGACTATTTAAATAAAAAGTCTAAATTTTTCTTTTCAAAATAATAATCCAATGATTCTGAAGTGGATCACTACTTTTTAAATGAAATATGCAGTTAATTTGAGGGAGCATGTGTAAAGTGTGGTCATGCAAGAGCACCCCATGAAAAAAATTCAACACGTAGAGAGAAAAAATGGCATGAGTGTGCCCCTTGGCCAGTTTCTCCTATAACTCACTCCTTTCGAAGTAAGATTTCATTGATTGGTCACTTGATAATAAAAACTTGGTTGCATCTAATGTCCAACACGACGTGCATTATTGCTTTTTGCCTAATAATGACATCTAAGAGTGATTTATGTACGGTTTATTAAAAAAAAATTTAATGTGAAATGCTCCATGATAGGTGGATAAGTCCATCAAATGTCTATTTTTATTTTTTTTTCAAAATTATCCCTCGGTCCGAAGATATTTTTGGACTGATTTTTTTTTTTTTTTCTAGTTTTTCATTAGTAGCACTGCCTTAAGAACGAAAAACTAAAATAAAAAAATTTTAAATTCGGATTTAGGATTCCATCATTAGACCGAAAGGCAATTTTGAAAAAAAAAAAAAAAAGGCTGATCGACCTTCTTTGTAATTGTCACCTACAAATGGAACAATTTGTATTTTAGGAAAAATTTTGGTTCGTATGTAAATCATTGTAAAATAGATGTGGCTTTTGAAGAAATTAAAACCACTTTCATGTGTCTTAGTCCAAATAAGTTACCAGGATTTAATGGTTCCTCACCTAGGGGTGGCAACGGGTTGAGTCCAGCTGGACCCGGACGTGAATAGTATTCAGATTTGGGTTTTGGACCCAAACAAAATTTGGACCCATAACACTTGGACCCGAGGTTCGGTCTACTCGTCAGGTCCTGGGTTTGGTTGGGTCCATTGCCACCCTATAAACACCCACATATACCCACATTTCTTATTGTTTTACATAGTAAACATAAATTACTAAGAAATAAAAATATTGGCAATATTTATGAATACCCACTATAGGTTGGGTCCGGATCAAGTTCGGTTGGATCCGGATCCAGACCTAAATAGTATTCAGGTGCAAGTTTTAAACCCAAACCCGACTTTTTGAGTCCAAAATTTGGACCCATACCCGAATCCGAGGTCGGGTCTACTTGTTGTTCCCAAGTCTGGTCGGGTCCCTTGCTACCCCTATTGTACAAAAAATTAGCATATAATAGGCCCAAAAATTACTCAAGCTATAAAAACACTTTCAAGACACAAATCACCATGCAATCCCTCGCAAAACCTTCATCACACTAATCCGTAAGCAAAAAGCTTTCCCCTCAATGACCAACTTTAGACATATTAAACTTTTTGATGTCATCTATAGGGTGATTAACAAAATCATTGCTAAAATTATAATCGTTTCTTAGTCAGATCATCAGGGCTATTCAAGGTGTTTTCGTTGAAAATAGGAGTATCTTAAAGCAAGCTTTAATTGCGCATGAATTCATCTATGACATAGCTAAAAACAAAAAGGGAAGCTCCCTTTGCCTAAAAATTGACCTCCGCAAGGCTTTTAATAGGGTTGATAAACAATTATTGATAAATGAGTTTCAAATGTATGGATTTAGGGACAAATTCATTGATTGGATAAAAATGTGCATCACTACCCCCAAGTATTTTGTGGTCCTCAATGGTAAACCTTTCAGATATTTTGAAGGTATGATCCACTTCCTCATAATCATATAATGTTTTGTAAAGGGAAAAGTTTATATAAGTAAGTCTCTAAACAATCAAATTAAGGCACACCTTAAAAAGTTCACTAAAAGAGATTGTTTAGATGTTGAAAAACCCTCAATCGATCATCTCGACCTCAAGATGTATAGACATGAGAAAAAATAGATTTCAAGTGTTAGAAATAGTGCATCTTGTAATGTATTATGTAGCCGTCAATTTTCAAGATTTTCAAGTATTCATAGATCTGCTTGATCTACACTGTTTTTGAATATTTAAATTTTATAATTAGAGATAAATTTCAGATCATCATTCAGATTTATATTACTGAAACAACATATTTCAGCACTATTTGAATGCGCACCTTGCTTTAACTCAGCCTTATACATACCAGACCCTGCAGTAAATAAAATAAAACAAAGAGATGTCAGGTATTCTTAATTCAAAAGTCCTAAGTTTGTCATTATTCCAAGGAAAACTCACCCCCTAACATTTGCTAGCCCCTAATCGAAAAAACCATATCCAAACTTAGAGGTTTGAACCAAGAAACCCTAATCCATTCGAGATGACTTACCCTCATCAAATCATGTCTCAATTCAGTCACAAATCATTGGTATTCTACTTTCAAATCACCCTCAGTCACGATAAACACCCTATAGAAGCTACAAAGGAACCTCCTTTAGGGAACTAGAAAAACTAAAGACACCCAAAACCTTGTTACATGGAGTATTATTTGTAAACCTAAGGGCGGAGGTGGGCTGCATGAAAAAGTATTAAAGACATTAACAATCTCTCCACTAGCCAAAATTGGATGTGAATTGAGAAGCGGAAAACACTCCTTGTGGTTGGATTCGATGAGAAAAAAATAAAAATATTTGAGTCATCGTATGGGAGTCTCTAAAGTCAGTAGAAAAGACTTTTGGGCCTGGAACGTAATACATGAAACCCTCCCACTTCTGATGAGACATAATCGTCTGTCGGATCTTAGGTGACGAAAGATTCATTTGTGTCCCGAATAATAATGGAGACTTCACATCCCAAAGTAGAGATCAAGGGTTGAAGAACACTGCCGTAATGGCCATATGGAAAACACCGATTCACCCTACGGCCTCGTGGTTTTTCTGGTTAGTCTACCAAAAGGAGCTAGTGAGGAATGCTAAGATGGGGATTCCACTTGGGTGATATTTGCCATTTATATAAAGATCATAATGAAAGTCATCACCGCCTTTTTATTTCATACAAATTTGTAAGCAATATTACCAAAACAATATTGGGTAGGTTCGATACGGGCACTACAGCGGGCCCTGTTCTTCTATTACAGGGTGTTCGATGGGGCCACACTTTTATACTTCCTTTAGGCTATCGAATGTTGCTAAAACCAGACACCTCATCCTTTGGCAAGAGAAATATTGGATAACCCAAAGGCAAGGATTTGGAGACGTTAAGTGGTTTGATCTTGCTAACACCAGATACCTCATCCCTCAGTAACATGCATATAAAGTGTTGAAAATAACGGATAACCCAAAGGTGAGGATTTGTAAACGTTAGTCTATCCGATGTTGTTAACACCATAGTCAAAAAGACCTCGGCCTAAGTAATAAACCTGTCTGATGTTGAAAATATCAGACAACCTAAAGGCGAAAATTTGGAGATACCTCAACATCATCATGCATATAAAGTGTTGAAAATAACGGATAACCCAAAGGTGAGGATTTGTAAACGTTAGTCTATCCGATGTTGTTAACACCATAGTCAAAAAGACCTCGGCCTAGGTAATAAACCCGTCTGGTGTTGAAAATATCAGACAACTTAAAGGCGAAAATTTGGAGATACCTCAACATCATCAAAATGTCAATTAGCCCATAAGATGGGTGTGTTCGACATTACATTGAACGAGCTTTTAAAAAAAAAGAACAATGAATTCCCTTCTATCTTATGCCAGAGATGTCGGACAAGCGGCAATCAATCACATAATCCCTCAATCAATCATATAACCTTTCCACCCAAGTTCTCATCAAATGGTCAATAGTATGTGACCTCCCTGTGTGCCAGAAATTAAAAGTTTTCCATTTTTTCCATGGCGCTCGTGATATGTTGAGTATGCAGTGTTCTTTTATAAGTAAGTACATGAGAGGAAGAGAGAAAATATAAAAATTGATTTTACTGTTATATCTGGTATGGAGTGATGGTCCCTTGTTCTCCCTGGCTGCGGGACTACCCCAAACTTCAAACTGCTGCAACGATCCTCCTGAATATTCAGGTTGGTTAGTTTCTTTTATGGTACTAAGTGAAAGACGATTTCAATTTTCGTTCTTTGTAAAACGTCCTTTTCTTTTTTCTCTTTTGGATAATTTCTTAGTTTTAATTTCTGGGTTTTTGGGAAAATGGATGTTCAAGGTTGTTTGCGGACTCATTGGATCAATTGGTGCTCTCTATTCTGGTCAATTAATGGTGGGTACAATTGTGGGGTTGTTCGCTCTGGTTGCCATTGAGAGTGGAAGCCGCTCGCTTATATCAACTTACTTTGTGTTGCTGCCTTGTACGCTTCTTCTCGACGTAGCTTGGATCATTTTTTACTATTGGGAAACCAGGTGCCATTTCGATCCTTATTTAATTTACAGGGGAAAGTCTCAGAGGAAAAATGAGAAGAAAACTAAGGTTGTAATGAATCTTCAATTGTAGAGATGAATGGATACTAGACAGAAAACACATGTTTGGCTGCACATATGATCTTTTCTTTTTTTTTAAAAACTGCTCTGGCTGGGCTGAGATTATGGATTTTGCTTGACTGACATTTTGTGCTTTATGATTCTGGGGTTTAATCATTTGGGTTTTATGATTTGGAGATGATTTTTATATGTATTAATTTTGGGGCTGTTTTTATGTCGTTGTTTGTGAAAAAAGTTCCATGAATTATGCTATACAAACTTGTGGCTTGCCAATGCCCATAATCCTTTGGATGTAGGGAATTTCCAGAAAATTAGGTTGGCCCTAGTAATTTTGAACAATCTTAGGTAGTTTTACGGGTTTTGAAACTGAAGTATTTATTGGCAGTATCATACTAGCTTGAGAATTATAGGATTCTGAAGTATTTGTTTGAAAAGGAGGAGATTGAATCAGTTAGTCTTTAGTCATATCCTTTCTAAACATGTAGAGATTTGCTTCTCTTAATGACAGCACATGGCTAGGGGTCAAATGATATATAGACGAAAGAAGATTCAAATACATTTGGCCCATGATTGTCGACTTTTTCTTTTTTCTTTTTTTATATAAGTTGATTAAGTGAATCGGATTTTGTCTCTGACATTTTATTGTCCTTTTCATTAGGCAATATGACCCTGTGAATTTTGGGGAGCAGTCTTCCATTTCGGTGAAGGTTGAGTTTTGGATGCAAATTTCAGGCTTTTTGGTTCGATGCTTATCACTCCTCCCATGGTTTCATATATATATGCTGAGAGAATCATCCCAATCAAGTGGTATTCGATCCTCCCGATTTTGAGAGTAGGATTGGGCTCTGCAGGCCGTCTTTAGGATGACGAACATCTACCAATGCTGGGGTAATCTTTGGTTGCTTCATTTTTCATTTCTTACTTCAAATGCTAAATTGTCTACTTATTTTATATTCAATTTGTCCAAATCTTTCAGACTGGGTATCCACATAACGTTACATCTTCACATTCACTTATCCTTATACTTGCAATTAATTGGAACCATGCATTGGTTTGAATGGGTTAGTTATGTATATGTAATTTTATCTTTATCCCCTTTTGGAATGGGATTTTTTGATCCACATGAGAAGATGTATCTAAAATTGGATACTGCTTTATTTGTTTTCTTGTTGAAGGGTTATTTGCTTCATTTTTTTCAAAGTTTTGTTATGCAAGATGTATTAAATCTATTTGTTAACATATTATTACTTTTTTATTGCATCATCATATTATTTTCTCCTCACATATCCCTGTATGGTTAGAGATGTTGGTGCATTTCTTTAGTACCCTTGTGAGTATCCATATATTATTGGCCAGTATTGTTGAAATTAATCCTGTTGACATCTCGATTGATTTTGATTACAGCAGGGACAAAGGACTTCTATTTTTTTTTCTTCTATAGTTTTACATAGCACAGTCAATTGTTCAAGTTACCACCATGAATGATTTTGCATACCTTAAGTTGATTCTATATTTATCTTTATACAGTAACTTGTATATTATGAAGATCTTATCATTCCTTTAATGTTTGAATAGGGTCATGTGCCACATGCATGTCCTCAGTCGTGCAAAAAATAATTTGTGTGGTTACTATAAATTAAGGTGCTTTGGATGTGTTTTACACTTCCCCATTTTATTGTATTATCTTTTGTTTTCTCATCATGTTTACCTTTTGGTGAAATGAACTTGATAGTGGACCAACTTATTCGTTATATGCATACTTGCATCCTTGCATGCATGCCACATTCCTATATACATGTGATGCCTTTTCATGAGTATTCAAGAGTAACCTTTCATTCTGCTGAGAATAGATTATTCTATGATGTCAAAATCAATAATAAGCTGCTTAGGATATTTGTTATCACCCTTCTACTGGTTGCCTGCTCTAACCGGTCATGTTTGCTTGTTTGCTGACATGTATATGCAGATCATTCTGTCATACAAAGGTGGCAATGAATTGATTTATTCAATATGTATGTATTCATACATTTACACATGCAAATATACATCGACACATAACACATGGTAGATGCTAACACTACTAAGAGCATTGGAAAACCAACTACATCTGGACATGATTGCTAAAATAAACCATTTAATTTCTGCCGTTTTTTGTTAAGCTTCATAATGGTATTCCAACTGATTTCCATGATATTCTTCCTTGGAGGGTCACATGTGCTGCAGTGCTAAGTCTTTTCCATGCTTTAAACTATAACCTTCAACACTCTTTTTGCGCTAAACATACCACGTGTGCAAAGAACTTGAGCCTGGTCAGAGAAGGAGCTGTCATAAGAAACAAAACTCCACATGAAATGCTTGATATTGGAATGACTTATGATGAGATCTGAACAAAACAGATGACTCTAGGTAGAAGTTTATAGTGGAAGTTAGTTGCGTGTAGTTGTGTACCAAGTTGAAATTAAAGTGGAGATGAAAACAGTTTGGTAGGATCTAAAGAGAGAAAAGAGAGGAAAAAATTAGAGATGATGAAGGAGGGAGAGAAAGTGAGAGACTTGTGAGAGATAAAGAGATAAAGAAGGAAAGAGAGGGCGTAGTGGTCACTTGTGACCTCTACCCCTAGTATAACATTAAGTAATAATCTTAATTATAACTTATGGATAATACTACCCTTATTTAGATACACAAGACAAATAAGGACTAAACAAAAGATAAAGGATAGTTCTATCCATCAAATACAATAAAGCTTATTCCTTTTATTTCCAACACTCCCCCTCAAGCTGGCGCATACATAGCAATCATGCCCAACTTGCTTGTAATATCATGTAATCTGTCCCATCCAACGGCTTTGGTGAAGATATCTGTAAGTTGATATTTAGACTTCACATAAGGAGTCTGAATGATCTTGGCAGCAACCTGCTTTTTGATAAAGTGACCTCGACTTTAACGTGTTTAGTCCTTTCATGAAAACAAGATTTTTTGCAATACGAATGACTACTTCATTGGGACAATATAGAGTCATGGGAAGCTTAACTCTAACACCCAAATTAAAAAGGACACTTTTGATCCATATTACTTCGCATGTATCATGAGCCATTGCTCTGTGTTCTGCTTCAGCACTTGATCTTGTTACAAGAAGTATTATGCTTCAGCTCTTTATCTTGCCACCACCTTCTGCTTCTTGCTTTTCCAAGTAGCCAGGTTACCTAAAACGAGTTGTGGATCTTGTATTAGTTTGGCAACCAGCCCAATCAGCATTTGTGTAAACTGCAACATGATGATGTCCTTGATTTGAGATAAATATCCCTTTCCTTGGTGCAGACTTGAGATATCTTAATATTTTGTACACAACATCTAGGTGGAGTTTCCATGGTGCATGCTTGAATTGACTGACCACGCTAACCACATAAGAAATTCTGATCGAGTGATTGTGAGATATATAATCTTGCCCACTATTTGTTAATACTGATTAGGATCTTTGAGTAGCTCTCCTCTTTCTCCATGAAGTTTATGATTGATTTTTATAGGAGTATTTGCAGGTCTAGATCCCAACATCCCCGTTTGTTGTAACAAATCCAACACATTTTCTCCTGGAGATGACGATCCCTTTCTTTAATCTCGCCACTTAAATTCTCAAAAAATACTTAAGGGGTCCTAAATTTTTGATATCAAACACCTTACTTAAATAAGATTTAAGATCCTCAATGCTCTTCACATTATCCCCTATCACAATAATAACATCAACATACACAATAAGGGCAGTAATTCCAGCAGTATCCTTCTTCACAAAGAGTTTATGATCAGTTTGACTGCTTTCGAACCCAAATTTCAGTTGTGCCTCTTTGAATTTTTTAAACCATGCTCTATGAGACTGTTTAAGTCCATATATTGCCTTCTTTAACTTGCAAACCTTTCTTATCTCCCCCTTAATCTGAAAACCAGGACGCATGGCCATATGGGTTTCTTCTTTGATGTCTCCATGTAAAAATGCATTCTTAACATCTAGCTGATGGATAGGCCACAATTTATTTGCAGCTAGTAAAACAATGATCCTCATAGTGTTCGCCTTGGCCATAGGCACGAAAGTGTCTTGGTAGTCTATACGAGGAGTTAGTGTGAAACCTTTTGCAACCAATCTTGCTTTGTACCTTTCAATGGTACCATCAACTTTGTATTTTATAGTAAATATTCATTGACATTCTACGACCTTCTTCCCTTTAGGAAGGTTAGTGATTTCTCATATATTATTCCACTCAACTGCTCGCATCTCATCACCCATGACAGCTTTCCATTGAGGTTGTGAAAGTGCTTATGTAACACTGGAAGGTATTGTAACATAAGATAGAGTAGATATGAAGGCACAATAAAAAGGGGGACACAAAATTGTAGGATATGAAGTTTCCTATTGGATGCTGAGTGCAAGAACGTGTACCCTTGTGCATAGCAGTAGGTAAGTCCAAATTAAGATTCTCTGAGAGGGTGAAAGAGTTACCTAGGTTAGGGATAATTTCTAATTGCGGATTAATATTCAAGGTATGGTCCCTTAGTACTTAGGGTTGCACCATTTTCTTCCTCATGGTATAAGTCTTCAACTTCTTTGAATCCGCACCATTTCTTTAAGATAAACCACTCTCTTCAGATAAAAGTGGTGTGGGAATAGGAAAGGGAACAACTGATTTACTCTCTTTCCTAAACTGTAATTTATTCTCCCCCTAAAGAGAGCACTCATGACCTATAGAGGAGAATTATGGAACAGATTCAAAGAAGGTGATATCCATAGAGATTTACGGACCTTGGTAATAGAATTATAATACTTGTACCCCTTTTGATGAGATGGATACCCCATAAAAATACATTTGGCAGCTTTAGCATCAAGCTTATCCCTCTTTGGGCCAAGGATGTGGATAAAACATACACAACCAAACACCATGAGAGGTACAGGGAACATGGGTGAGTTGGGATGAATAATTTTAGCAGGAGATTTTCCCTCAAGAACATGAGAGGGCATGCGGTTTATTAAAAAGGCTGCAGTGAGAACTGCTTCCGACCAAAAAAAAATTTGGAACTTTCATTCCCAGTAAAAGAGCTCAGGTGACTTCCAATAAGTGTCTGTTTTTCTTTCAGTTGTACCATTCTGCTGAGGTGTGTATGGACACGTTGTTTGGAAGTCAATCCCTTGATCAAAAAGATAACCTTTGAGTTTGTTTAACACATACTCAACCCTACTGTCAGACCACAAGACTTATTGTGCAGCATATTGAGTTTTAACCATTTTGTAATAGACTTGGAATATATTAGCAACTTCAGCTTTGTGTCTCCTTAGATAGATAGTTGTAAATCTAGAACAATCATCAACAAATCTAGCAAAGAAATGAAATCCGAACATAGATGCAACTAGTGAAGGACCCCACACATTAGAGTGTATAAGAGAGAAAGGAACATCACTCTTTTTATTGATATTGATAGGAAATGAAGTTCTACAATGTTTTGACAACCCACAAATGTCACATTGCATTTGAACTTGACCTAGAGACTCAAACAATTTAAGAACTAAAGAATGCAAAGTAAAAAACGATGCATGACTAAGTCTATGTGCCAAAAATACACCCTTTATTTATTATGATGTACATTCACGAACTTGGGGAGATGCTAAGGCTACCCACCCTCAATGTGCAATGAAGACAGGAACATCAGGAGTCTCTCAAACGTACAACCCTTAATTTTCAAGACCATGCTCAAATGTCTTCCCCGTCATCAGGTCCTCGGATACACAATGAGAAGGGAAAAGGTTATACTGCAATTTAGGGTCATTGTGTGATTACTAATTGACAAGAGTGGAAAGATTGGGAACACATAAGTTGGATGACAAGTTAAAAGGAGTAACATGTATGGTTCCCTTTCCCTCGATTGGAGTAAAAGAACTATTTGCTATTTTATCTTATTTATTACTAGAACAAGGGGAACAAGAGGAGAAAAAAATCAGCCATACCAGTCATATGTTCAGTGCTCCAAAATCAATATTCCAAGGGGCTTTAGCTATTTCCAGAGATATGATGCGTTGATGCAAATATACCTGATTGTGCAATGTGAGACTTAGGAGGAGGAAGGGTCTCGAATGGAAGCCTGTTGCTTGAGATCCAGGAGCTCTCTTTTAAGAATAGTCAGCAACACTTCTTGAGGTTCAAAAGAGATGATATCTTGCTGCCCTTGAGTAACTGGGGTAGTACTTTCACTGACTGTTGCTGAATTTGCCCTTGGAAAGTTTTATCTTAGGTGTTTAACTAGATCCCAACATGTTTCCCTTGTGTGTCGAATCTTCTCACAGTGGGTGTACTTCAATTTGTCCTTCTCATAAGATGTGGGGTTTCCACAGCCACGTCCACATCCACCACCTCAGCCTCCAACACAGCTCCCAAATCGTTCTCCATCTCAATTCCATTGAAACTTATGAATAGGGTGGATCTTTCAGTTTCACCTATAGACACTGCCATTACCTTACACCGAGTTTCTTCATGCTAAAGAAGAGAAAAAACAATAGCAAATGATGGCAAAGTCTCGCTATTGATTGCCTAATTGTTTCATCCTCTTCATTAACTCCCCACAAAAGATAAAAAATCTTTTTTTGTTCTAGTCTCTCTCTGTTCCTTTGCGCAAGAAGAACACTATATGGGATTATACTGGCTTAATTCATCCCAAAGACCATGTAGATGAGCAGTGATAAATCACCTTGTTTAAAATCATTGATTTGCTGCTCTAATTCATTGCAATATTTTTCTTTTGGAAATAGGAGTCAGAGACTACCTCCCATACTTCCTTAGAGGTATTACAGTTCATAAAGGATCAATTCATATTAGGCTGCATTGAAAATAATATCCAATTCATAATAGCCATATCTTTAGCCTCCTAGTCTGCATATTTAGCATCCTTCTAGTTAGGTTTTCCTACACAGCCGTCAATGTATCCCAGTTTTTCTTTCCTCCCAAAATAGTTTAACTGACTTGATCCATTCTAAATAGTTTGTTCCATCAAACCTGACTGTGGTGATTTGGGGTTCAGATGACTGTACTAAACATCCTGTTATACCCTCATATTTTAATCAACAAATGTGATCAACTTACACCCTTTAATCTCTTCAAATAAAAGGTATTATAGATCTGGTTACACTCTCAGATCTGATCACTCCCTTTTTTCCAGAAAAACATAAAAAAAAATGCTAATAGTATACGAATCCTAAAAAAAAATTTCAGAATCATAAAAAAATTCACCTTCATTGCCACAGTAACTGCGGAAGAAAATTTAGGTTTTTAGGGCATGATGACGTTATCTAACTCAAAGGATGACATCAGCCCTAAACACAGTTTGTGCACACCTTTTTTTTGAAGATTGATCCTCTTTTTTTTCTCTTCTAGCTCTGATACCATGTTGAAATCAAAGTAGAGATGTAAACAGTTTGGTAGGATCTAGAGAGAGAAAGAGGAAAGAAAATAAAGATGGAGGGAGAAAGAGAGGTGTGTGGGAGACATAGAGATAGAGAGGGAAAGAGAGTGGTGTATTGGTCACTAGTGACCCCTACCCCTCTTATAGCATTAAAGAATAACCCTTACCATAATTACAACATAAGACAAATAAGGACTAAACAAAAAATAAATGACAGTTATATCCATCAAATACAATAAAACTTATTCCTTTTATTTCCAACATACCATTCTTATAAATCAACATTGAATGATTTGTATTTCATTGTTTACGACAAGGAATGTGCTGGTTTAAATAGTACTTGACTTCCATGACATTCTTCCTCGAGGAAGCACTACATATGCTAAAGTGCTAAGTCTCTTCAATGCTTTAAACTTTCTCTATCACTGCTGACTTTTGGTCTAAATGTGCCACAAGTCCATACAAAGAACCCCATGAAATACTTGCCATTAGACTAATTAGCATGCTGAAGTCTGCACAAACATATGAATCTAGGTAGAAGTTGATCGTGAAAGTTGTATGTACTATTGTTATAATCAAGCAACAGCGAATGTGTTCTAGCATCGCATTGGGATAACTAGTATCTTGTAATTCAAATTGGGGATAACGTTTTGCAATTTTATCTTATTGAAATCATCTTTCAACATGGTACAGTGGTCGTTACTCAAAATTATGACCCATATGGTGTTTGTTTTCGAGTTTAACTTTACCATCAGTATCAGATTTGTCAAACTTTGTTGGTTGTAATGTATATTTTTGTTTGTGGAGGAAAATTATTAATATTTGAATTTTTTTCTAGTCAACTGATGAAGATCAAATATGCAACTTTTAATGCTCGATTAAGTGTTCCATCAAGTTTAGATTTGAGTTTATTTTTGGACTTCTTCCATCCAAAATTGCTTTCTGTGATGAAACCTGATCTGGAATAGATCAGCCACACTTACTTCTGAGTTAGGATTTTATTTTGTTTTTCACCTTGTGTTTTGCGTAACTTAGTTGACTATAGATTTAGATTTCAGTTTTCATATGTTTAAAGTTAGCCTTGCTTTGGAATTGAGTTATTTTAGCACCTAGCTACGATCGTAAAAAGGGGGCCACTACCTTTTAAAATAACCTGTATGATCAGTACGCCTTTTTAAACACTGATCTGCCTTGTTTGGTACTGTAGGAACAGTAACATTCTGAATTATGGCTCTTGACACCAGCTTCCTGTGCTGCAGTTTGACCTTCATGTGTTGGGGGAACTCGAAGGATATCCCATTACTCAAAAGGAAGTGAGCATTTTTAGGTTCTCCTTTCCTCCACCATGCTTCTTTCTAATTGGTCATGGTTTCCTTTTCTTCTTCAAATTTTTTTATTTTCCTTCTTTATGTTTGCATATTCCTGGATCCTTGGTTGCTAAGATTGTATGATTAATTTAAAAACAGAATAGGGATCCAAATCAGTCTTCATTGGATCAATCTGGATCGCCCATTCCAATCAGGATCGCCTAATTCAAGGTGATCCTGATGAAAATGGTGAAAAAATAAAAAGAACACAGATTTTCGTCTGATTTAAATCTGATTTGAAGCAAAAAGATTCTAAAGTAAAGTAAGAACGGAAGCTTAGGATGGATGAAGCTCTTTACTCCTCATTTCTCGTTCTTTCTCCTTTCATTTTTTGAATTCGGATTCAGTCTACACTCTACCCTATAGTAGCAAATATAAAGCTTGCTTGCAAACTGACTGTACTTCCCCTTCTTGGTCACTAGCTTGTTTTTCTCTACGATTTAGATTCAGTCGAACTCCCAGCATACGAAGAATTTAAATTAAAGAGATTCAAATGTTAACTTTGAACCTATTCAAAGTTAGCACTGATTTCAAAGAAAAAAAAATATTCAAAGTCAGCATTTAAAAAATATAGATTAGTATTATCTGATTTTATAAAGGACAAAGTTTATATAGAGCCAAGGTTCTAAACAATCAAATTAGAACGCATCTCAAAAATTTCACTAGAAGTGGTGTTTTGATGGCCAAATATCCTCAAATTGATCATCTCGACATCAAGATGCATGGACATGAGAAAAAAATGGACTTCAAGTTTTGGAAATAGTGCATTTTTGGACCATCAATTTTCAAGTTTTCATAGATCTGCTCGATCTACACTATTTTTTAAGCTTTAAATTTATAATTAGAGATGAAAATATAGTTTAAAGCTATCACAAAGATTTCCAGTATTGAAACCACATTTCTTGACACTATTTGAAGGTGCACTCTACGTTGATTGTTTAGAGCCTTGGCTCTATACAAACCGCACCTTTTTATAAATCCTCTTAATCTGGAATGAATTCGTTTATCAAAACTTGTTTATCCACGTCCTTTCTCTCTATCAATTTCCTCTCCACTTCTCTCTCTCTCTCCCTTAAAGATAGGAGTTTTTGTATTTAAAAGTTGCCCCACATCTACTCTGAAGATAGTGTCCGTCCTTATTCTTGTGACACATTTCCATCCTTTTACTGTGACTTGATAATGTAATATAGATATAGATATCTTGTAGAGGGCTTAGAGACATATTCGAAAGAGTTTCATCAATTTTGGTTGAGCAATGAGGAACAAAATGAGGGAAAGGTGTATTGGGCTTTTTACATATAAAAAATGTCCCAAAAAAGAAAAATCATAATTAAATTTCGTGGAATTGCCTTCTCTGACTGAATCTGCGATTCCTATTTTTTCTCTGATAGTTGTCCAATTCTTTGACAAAACTAGGTGATCTATTTTAAAGGACCTATAACTAATTCCATAAGAGAATTGGGCTGGTCACCTAACAAATCCGATCCATATCAGTTGATTCTGTTATGGATTGCTGTTTTTTAAAACATTGCATTGTACTGAAGAAAGTTCTTGTTGGATCTGTAATATTTACTTTTTGTGTTGCTTTTGACCTTAATTTTTTATTTTATTTTTTGTTTCTTGTTTTTGAACGTTATTTTGCCACTTCACTCGATACTCTACTATTTGCAATATAGTGCCATCATCTTAACTATAAAGCTTTGGACTTGGGGTTGCTACTTCAATTGATTTGCCTATTGGGTTCTATTCTTCAACATATACATCCATTTCCCTTTCTTTGATTTCTTTGTAAAATGCTTATTCTTCTTTCGTCTTTATCCATTGCATTGTTAATTTTTCTTTACATTTGAATTTTGACCTAGTATTTGGTGTTTCCAATGTGGATCTTGATTGATCTTAGGTTTGGCCTCTTAATTGTAATCGGAAAGAATTGTTTATACAGTTACACTCTGTATTTTGGTTATTGGATTGGTTAGGTTTAATTTATCAAGCTATCCTTCTGTTATCCCTTGTCAGCATTAATAAACTGCCTTCTTGCCCTATGACTTGCTCTTTTGTGATCTCCCAGAAAAGTCAAGTGATTTAGAAACAATGTGGATTCTGAGTTCTGTGGATGTCAGATTATCTGTTTCATGAGCCATTTCATACTTCATTGTAAACAAATCTCAGATCATTATTATCAAATAATGGAAGCATCCTTTCCAATCGGGCTGCTGTTAATTTTTTACCTACATTATTTACTTAGTTTTTGTTGTCATGGTCTGCTGAGTTTCCAGTGCGTGCTAGCTTTCTGTTGTGGGACTATTGATTTTAAGCAAATCCGTATTGTCTAAATCAGTGTTTGCAAAATCGAACCAAAACGATTAACCGAACATGGGCCTAGAAGCAGTTTAACCGGCCTAACCGGTAAATCGCCCGATTCAACCGCTCTAACCGGGCAAGTTCCGGGCGGTCAAAAAAGTGTTGAAAAAAAATAAAAACAATACAAAAAAAATCTACTAAAATATGAAAAGCATGTAAAGAATGATTAAAACAAAACACATGCTAATGAAGTTAAAAATTAATGAAAAAAATGGATTTTAACCCATTTTATTTTTTCAAGGTCTATTTTTAAAATTTTCTAAAAAGATGGGAAAATTGAAAGTGAGTCTTAATGACCAAAACAATTTTTAATCTTTACCATAATGTAAAGAATATTTAAAAATGCATTACAAATCAAATTCTTTATTCTTGAGAATTTATATACATTATTATTATTATTATTATTTAAAATACCGGTTGATCACCCTAACCGCCCAAAACCTGAACCTGCCACTGGCCGCCGGTTCCGATCTAACTGGGCGGTTAGCGGTTAGATCGGGCGATTTTGTGAGCAATGGTCTAAATATAGTAGGACTTCATTGTCTTGTGCTCCTTAAATAATATTTCGTGACCATACAAAATTCACATGCCAGTGCTCCAGTTATGAGACTTTGTCAGATTAGAAGGCCTGTCATTTATTAAATATTCTAGTGAAGAAATGAATTTTGACTTAGTTTCTTTTTTGCATGGACATAATTCTATCAACAACCCATTCCTTTGTCATTTAAATCTATTTTAATTGCCCTAGATGTTGACTTCTTGAAAATCTTTATGTTTAGTCATGCATGCTTCCTCTGTAACTGTCTTCACCAGAATTCCTTTTCTTAGGCCTACTGGAAATAAGAGCACATCATAGTCTAATGAGAGAGAAGCTTTTCTTTTGGTACAGAGAGACAGGGGTTGGGGGGGGGAGAGAGAAGCCTTTCTTTTGGTACAGAGAGACTAGGGGGTTGGGGGGGGGGGGGCGGCGGGGTGCGAAGATAGGTTTTCAGAAATAAAATTACTTTATCTTCCCCTCAAACATGAGAAGAACAAAGTCACTGATTCTTGTGAAAAAGCAAAAGAGCGACTGCATCAGTGGTTTCACTTATCAATGGTCAATCAAAGTCAATGGAAGTGTTGAGAGGGCGGATTGTAGGTAAATGGTCCAAGGCATAATGTAAGCTGATGCATTAGTAAAATTTCATACATCTGCATCAAATTTAAAGCAGATGAAAGAGCTGGTGTTAATGCACAAACAAAACTATAAGTGGCTCTTGCTTGCAACTTGCTTAGTTGTCTTTGGCTCCTCATATTATGTTCATTTTTCTCAACCTGTTCATGCGGCAGTATTGACGAAGTAGATCTTCCAGTGGGTATATTTTCTTTTCAAGTTGAACCTTGCCTAATTTTTTCTACTGTCCACAAAAAGGGTTACACTCTAAATTTCAAGAGAGGGATAATCATATTTATGTGGATTAAGCTATTGATGATGGTCTTTTTTATTGGAATACGTGTATATCCAGATTGATCTTGCACCATATAGTGGTTCCATAAAACTTATTATTTGGCTGAATTAGTAAAACTTATTATTTGGCTGAAGTAGTTTGGAAAGTGAAAATTTTCATTAACAATTTTGTTTTATGGAAAAATTTAATCAAGACCTTTATCATTATACATATGGCTCATACATCTGTAGCAGGTTAACTTTGAATACCATGATGAGCTCAAAGGTGTCTTGTTAAGTGTTAGTTACCTTCACTGAATAGTGTGCCTGCACGACCCTCAGTGATTTAAAAAGCGGACCGCCCAGCGCCTAGGCGGTACGGAGCCCGCCTAGGCAACCTAGTGGCCTATCTGGGGGCGGAAATCTATTTTGGTGGGGGCAAATTTGGTTATTTTTCTTTTTTTTAAGGCCTAAAATTTAGGCTTCTAGGTTCATTTGAAACCTAAACCTTGTTTGAGCCAAATTTAGAGAGAGAAAGCCACAAAAAATTAGATTGTGATGAATTTTTCAAGATCGAAGGGTTACTCAAAGTTGACCAAAATTGATCAAAACATCACCCATTAGTACTATATTTACTTTTTGATGCTTTGCAAAGTTATTAGGGAGTCTTTTAGAAGATTTTGAGCATTTAGAAACATCTTTGAGGTGAAAGTTTGAAGATTGAGCAATCAAACTCAGTTACTGAAAGTAAGTGATTTTTTTTATTACTTTAGCCTTTAGTAGTTTGCATTATTTCTTGGATGTCTTCTTCGGGATCTAATAGGAGTGGTGATCTCGATTGGAATACGGTTATAACCCAGATCCTAATGATAAAAATTACATAAGATGCAATTTTTGTGAAAATGATACAAAAGGGGGCATAAATCGGTTCAAGAAACATCTTACCGGTATTAGGGGGGATGTTGCCCCATGTAAAAAGACTCTTGATGCTGTTAAAGAGAAAATAAAGAATTTTATGAACTTGGTGAAAATAAAAAAGATGAGAGATTTCCCTCTATAGCAGATATTAGGTCTGGGGTTCGAGTCAATTTTGATGATGATGATAGTGATGAGGAAGGATTGGGGATGGATGTCAAGAGGTTGAGCAATCCATTATTAGGGGAAAGGGGAAGTGAGTTATAATTGCTTCTGGTTCTGGGACTAAGAAGCCTCGGGTTAGAGGCCTTATGGATAGTTTCTTACCTCGACCTGACCTTGAGATTGCAGGAGAGATACCTGACCTTGAGATTGCAGGAGAGAAAACAAAAAAGTAAACCACCATGGAAAATAGAATCAAGAAGGAAGAGAGAGATAGAGCTGCGTATTATTTAGCTACATGGTTTTATGAGGTGGGTATTCCTTTCAATACCGCTCGCTTGAGCAGCTTTTATGCTGCAGTAGAGGCAATTGGCCAATTTGGCCATGGGATGAAACCCCCAACCCCATATGAGCTGTCAGAGCCTTTTTTAAAGAAGGCGGCGAATGTCACGAAGGAAGTTGTAGAACTTAAGAAAGATGCATGGACTCAGTATCGGGTTTCTCTTATGACTGATGCTTGGAGTGATAGGAAGAGAAGAAGTTAAATGAATTTGCTTGTGAATTGTCAAGTAGGGACTGTTTTTTTGAGGTCTATTGATGCCTTTGATGATATTCATGATGCTCATTACATATTTGAAGTGATAGCTAAGGGAATCAAGGAGGTTGGGGAGCATCTTGTTGTGCAGGTTGTCATAGACAATGTTGCTCCTAATGTTGCTGCATCTAATTTGTTGCGCATAACTTATCCTAGAATCTTTTGGACACCATGTGCAACACATTGTACAGATCTTATGCTTGAGGCTCTTGGCTATTTAATCAAGATATCAGGTGTAGTGAAGAAGGCCAAGTATGTTACGAATTTCATTTATAGCCACCATATCACCCTCACCATGATGCGTACCTTTACAAAGAAGAAAGAGATTGTAAGGCCCGGGGTCTCAAGACTTGCGACTTGGTACTTATGCCTAGATAGCATACATTCGATGAGAGTGCAGTTGAGGCAATGTTTACCTCGGATGAGTGGAGAGCATGCAAGTGGTCTAAGGCTCAGGTTGGGAAGAAGGTGAGAGATATTATACTTTCTAAGGCTTTTTGGTGAGGGGTGAAGGACGCTCTTAAAGTATTTTTTCAGCTTATCAAAGTCCTTCGCATGGTTGATAGTGACAAGATTTCTATGGGCTATATATATGATGCTATGGAGAAATGCAAAAGAGAGATAGCCCAAAATTTCAATAATGAAGAAACCCACTACAAGCCTGTTTGGGAGATTATTGATGATAAGTGGGATAAGCAGCTACATCGGTCATTGCATGCAGCTGGTTATTTTTTAAACCCAGCTTTGTTTTATATTGACAAGGATATACAAACAAATGACACAATTATGGATGGATTTAATAAGTGTGTAGAGGTGCTAGTCCCTGATCTTGAAATGCATGACATTATATGCCCTGATGAGCTGACAAATTACAGGTGCTCATTAAAGTCTTTTGGGAGTCCAATGGCGATGCGGCAAATGATCACAATTAATCCAGGTATTAAATATTATTATATTAATAATATTCTTAAGTTTATCTTTATCAAGTTTAACTGTTCAAGTAATCAAGTATTTCTACTATTTATTTATGATTTTTTTAATTTCTTTGCAGCCCATTGGTGGAGCCAACATGGGCGTAATTCTCCAAATTTACAAAAGTTGGCCATTCGAATCTTAAATATAACCACTTCTTCATCCGATTGTGAGCACAATTGTAGTACTTTTGAAGGGGTAAAGCTATGAAGGTAATTTGTATAATTTTATAAATAATACATGAACCATAGATATTAGATTTTAATTAGTTCACTTTCATTTTATTTTGTTAGGTTCATACAAAGAAAAGGAACAAGCTTGAATCAAAGAAGCTCAATGACCTTGTCTATGTCAAGTACAATCGATTCTTGAAGGACAAATTTGCTAAGAGAGATAATAGAGACCCCATCAGATAAAAAAATATGGACAATGCTATGGAATGGTTAGTTGATGATGATGAGGTCGAGGGGTATGAAAGATTGACATGGGACCTGGTCATGGATGCTTCAGGGACATCAACTGACCCTCCTAGGGCAACTAGAGCTTCTGCATAGAGAACAAGGGTGGAGGAAGAGGAGGAAGAAGAGGCAGATTCACAAGAGCAGAGGAAGACGAGTCGCAATCTGTCGAGGAGGGTGATGACTCCGATGAATATGATGCCAATGCAGCTGACCCAAGATTTTCTAATGATGAATGAATGGTGATTGTTGAATAATTATTAAACTTTGTTATTTTGAAGTTTGAACTTTGATTGAAGTATTGTGTATTGAACATTTGAACTATTGAAGATTCTTTTGAGTCTTCAAGTGTTACTTTCATTGTTTATAATTTGGTTGGTTGGCATATTTTAAGTTTTAATTGGATATGGATTATGGAGTATGAACTGACTTATGGATTATGGATTTACGGTTATGCTTATGGAATGTGTGCTAAATGCTAATATGTAGTATAATTTGAATATAACAGATAGTCTGATACTCAAATAAGTGCAGAATCTTTATTTGGATTCAACTGGATTGCAGAATCCTTATTTGGATTCAACTGGGCAGCCCAGGTTCTGGGCGCCCGCCTAGGCGCTAGGCGGCCTGGACCTCCCAATCCGCCTAGGACCCGCCTAGCGCTTTTTGAAACATTGATGACCCTTGAAATCATACTTTTTATTAAAAAATCAATGGCATCTGGGTGGATGATCTGATTTGTGAGTAGAGACTGAGCACAAGTGTGGGATCAAGTGTTTGTCTAGCAAAGAGATTAATAATGGCTAGATCGTGCATTCGTGTGACCAGTTTGCTGGGACTCATCCCCTGGCAGAGGCGAGTTGATCGGCAGATTTTAGTCTAGCACAGGGCCTTTTGACCCTAAAAATATTAAAAGAAAAATAGGAAAACTTTGAAAATAAAAAAACTTGTAGTAAAAGTAAATTGAAACCTAAAAGAACTTTAAATAGTTAAAAAAAGCTTAAAAATGTCTAGAAAAAATGGATTTAGAAAAAACCGATTTACAGTTTGGGACATTTTTAAAAAATCCAAAAAAAGAGGAAAATATAAAATACTGATTATAGCAAAAAAAAACAACTGACCAATCTTTGCCAAATACATTCAAATCATATACAAAATGATTATAAAACAATCCAACATTTTTTAAAACCAATTTTAGAATTTTTTTGAAATTCTTTTTATATCCCTGAGGTGTGCACTCGGCTCAGGGAAACACAGCCTTACCCTTAGGACGAGGCCTAGTTACTCGTCCGAGTAGACTTGGGCAAGTCATGGCACACTGCTTGTGGCATATACCTGGTCTCAGGCGAGTCACGCCACACTGCTTGTGACACAAATTGATCTGAATATAGAAGTCAGTTCTCCATCAAGAGTCATTCAAAATCGTTGTAGTGTTATATAGCTTTCTACGCTGTTAAACTGGGAAGTTCTTGATCACATACAAACTTCTAGAAATTAACTCCTTAAGTATATAGAATTACACATGATAAACCAAATGGGACCAATTAAGTATCCAAAAAAAGAAAAAAGAAAAGGAAAATACAGACAAAGACACAAATCACAATCGAATGGATCCAACTACAAAATATGAAGTATTTAATTTATTACAGAAATAGCCTTAAGTCACTTATGCGCATAAGGAGATGCAGGGCTTTATGGCACTGGCTATGACTAGAGCTTTTGTTGCCATATTTTCCACTATGAGAAGAACATAGACATATCAATGCTGATTCATCTGTCCTGGGGACACAAATTGTTTGGGTATTGTGGCCTCTTTTAATGATGTGAAGATTCTCGACAAAATCTGTTAGTGAAATTTTACCATGTAGGAGTAATTCTTCTAAATGGCACAAGGCAGTTCCCTTCAAAGGAAAGATCCTCCAAGTGTGGCAAAATTTACATTGGATCATTATATTTTATCACTGACATGGGAGGATTTGATTCCCAAACGATTACAACAATTCTGTGAACTCAGTGGAAATAACGCACAGGAAAAGGTTTGTGCTTCTCACAAGGGCTTCACAAGAAGCAACACATTATTAGGAAAAATTACGAGATTTACATGCTGCTACCCTACGCGCACAGATAGCGTGTGCATCTTGCTATTTGGCATGAATAGCAAGATGCGCTAAACATTGTCACCTTATTTTGGGTCCGGCAACTTAATGAGCTTTCATATATGGTTAGCAGATTTTTCATCACAATAGGAAGACAATTGGCAACGTCCCTCTCTGTGTATGTATAAAACTATCTACACTTTGATGGGTAAGAACGGTCGTGGTTTATAAGAATTTATATAGTTAGTGGCAACAAGTAGACGAACTTTTACTACTCAAAAGATGAAGAAGTAGACGAACGTCCAGATCTTTTATCACTTGAGTCTGTCAAACATGGTTTTTTGGCATGCCACCATGCTCTTTGATTTTATGGCTTCAAATGTGATCTTCATTAAATAATGTCATGACATATGAGCTTCCTCAGAGAAAATAGTAAGGTCAGGTTTGCTGCCCCTTGTAAAATCCAGGATAGACCCTTTTTTTTTATTAGCCCTTATGTTCAACAAACCCTTTTTGTGTATTCTTGTAAAATTCATCTGGTTCCCTTCTTTTCTTGGGCCCTAATGGGCTTTGAGAGCGCCCTCTTCATGGGTGGCCCTTTTTTGGAGTGTCATTCGATTCTTGTACTTTTCTTATTCCCTTATGAATACATACAGTTTAACAGATTAAAAACAAACCCGTCTTTCTCTTGTCCAAATTCTATACACCAGTATCTCAATCATGAGGCAGGCATGTCAAATCAGGCTCATGACCATCTTCTCTCATATGCCTCCCCAAACTCCTCAAATTTTCGTACATGGACCTCATCTCCTTACAAGATCCCTCATCGCCCACCACAAAATCAAATACCTGATTCCTCACCTCAATCCAGCTCCTTCCTATCTCTTTTGTATCACCCATTTCCTTCATAACCCTCCTTGTTTTTGCAAACTTATCCCAATCTCCCTCAGCTGCATAAATATTTGACAATGAGACATATGCGGATACACTTCCCTCTCTCAAGCCCAACATCTTTCTAGCGGCCAAGGCCCCAAGTTTCAAATCACCATGCACTCTACAAGCTCCAAGGAGGGCACCCCACACTGATTCATCTGCTTCAAAAGGCATCTTCTCTATCATTTCCAAGGCTTCCAAAAGCTTCCCAGCTCTTCCCAGCATATCAACTACACACGCATAGTGCTCTTTCCTCGGAGCAATCAAGTAAATTGAGCTCATTGATTGGAACATTCGATGCCCCTCATCTAGAAGCCCAGCATGACTGCATGCAGAGAGAACACCCAAAAAAGCAACACCATCAGGCTGTACCCTCTCTATTATCATCTTATCAAACATTTCTAGTGCTTCATTCCCATAACCATGCTTTCCATAAGCAATCATCATTGAGGTCCACGAGACAAAGTCTCGCTCTAACATCTCATCGAAAATCTTCCTCGAGAAAGGGATGCTCCCGCACTTGGCGTACATATCTACAAGTGTGTTACTTAGAGCAATGCAATTTCCTAAACCCTTCTGAATTATGCATGCATGAACCTGTTCTCCACACTTGAGAACAGATTGGGTTCCACAGAAAGAGATAACACTTGTAAATGTGTAAGAGTCGGGTTTAAGATTGCCAATTCCCATAAGCTTGAACATTTTCAAAGACTCTATGGACCCAATTCTCTCATATCCCGAGATCATGGTATTCCATGAGACAAGATCTCTTCGAGGCATCTCATCAAAAAGCCGGTGTGCTTCAATCATGTTCCAACACTTGGCATACATATCCACAATTGAGTTAGCCAAGATTAAACTTGAACCAACCCCACATTTTATCACTAATGCATGGATCATTGTGCCTAAGATCAAAGAACCCAGTGAACCACAAGCAACAAGGGTGGCTGAGCAGACGAACGAGTCTACATTGGTGCTATCTTGTCTCATTTCAAGAAAGAGCCCAATGGCCTCTCTATGGAGCCCTCTCTGAGTACACCCCGAGATCATTGTGGTCCAAGAAATCACATTTGTCCATTTCATATAAGAAAACAATGATTTAGATTCATGAAATCTGTTACACTTAATATACATGTCTAACAATGCATTTTCTGTGTATGAATCCTCATATCCAAACTTGATTGAGAGACAATGAATTTGGGTGCCTTGGGAATAAGATCCAAGCGCTGAGCATGCCTTCAGGGAGGAGGAGATGGTAAAAGAATTGGGTTTGGTTCCTAAGAGTTGCATTTTGTGAAATAAGGATAATGCTTCGAAGTAAAGGCCTTGGAACGTGTATCCGGTGATCATGATTGTCCATGCAATCACATCTCTTTCAGCCATTTCATCGAACACTTGTCTTGCTTCATTCAAGCGACCAGATTTGCAAAAGAGTGAGAGCATCTTAGTGGAGAGAGAACTGGGAGAATGAAGAGAGTGTAGAGAATGAAGGACGATTGTGGTGGCTTTGAGAAACATGTAGTCATTTGCATGGGACAGTGTGTTTACCCCTCTTCCTATATTTATGGTGCATGAAAACAATGTCCCGAGATTAAAAATCTAAGTTATCCTCTCTTGTGCCTACTACCGTTTTACTCATTGAGAAAGTGTCCCGAGATAAGAACACGCTATTGAAGAAAATAGTAGACCATGACAAACAGGAGAAAATTATAAACAAACGGAAGAAGAAAGCATTGGACATCGAGGCTGGAAAGAGGAAGGGTGAAGAGAGAGAGAGAGAGAGAGAGAGAGAGAGAGAGAGAGAGAGAGAGAGAGAGAGAGTAGTAAGTAGTAGTAGAGTAGTAGTAGTAGTACGTACGACGTAGTAAGTAAGTAAGGTTAGGTTACGGTTACGGTTACGGTTACGGTTACGTTA